CCCCCCGCCGCAACCCCCCAAACCCCCCAACCTCCCCCTGCAGGAACCCCCAAACCCCACAGCCCTGAACCCTCAAACCCCACAACCTCACCCTGCAGGAACCCCCAAACCCCACAGCCCTGAACCCTCAAACCCCACAACCTCACCCTGCAGGAACCCCCAAACTTCACAGCCCCAAAACCCCCCAACCTCACCCTGCAGGAACCCCCAAACCCCGCAGCCCCCAAACCCCAGCTCCGCGGTGCCGCAGCACTGACCCCCACTGCCTGGGACCCCAGTGGGGGCCACGCAGACCCCGTGCTCCCCCAAAAGCTGCAGCCTGGGGAAGGGGCCAGGCAGGAGCCGAGCCCTGGCTGGGGTTTTTGGGCACGGTCCCAAGCAGGCAGCCCTGTGCCTGTGCCCCGGCTCATTTCCGAGTTGCCCCAAGGAATTCAGGCAAGGAAGGAACAACCCTGAGGACCGACTTCATCCATCACTGCTCCCCAAAACCCCTTCAGCACCCGCCAGCCTCCGGGGGGGATCTGGGGATCCCTCTCCAGGGATTTTTTGGCTGGAATTCCACGTTCACCTTCCCTTGCTACTTTTTTAAGCGCATCTGGGGTTTTCATCGGAAAACCATTTCACCCTCATTTTTTTGGGGGGGGGGCTCAACGTCTCCCCAATCCCTTTTTTTTTTTTTTTCCTCTTTAAAAAAATAAGCTAAAAAAATTCAACTTCTTTGCATTTTAAATAAGCCCCCCTTCCCCTCATTTTATTAAGAAACAAAGCAAAAAAAAAGGCACAGGGACAGAACCAGGTGGACAAACTGGGCACATCTCGGCTGCAGGCCTTACCCTCTTCTTCCTCACCGTACTCCTCCTCCTCCTCCTCCTCCCTCAGCCTTCCTCACCTCCACAGGCCTGCTCTAACCGGGCCGTGAGGGGCATGGATGACTCGGGCAGCTCTCCAAGGCCTCGGTAGGGTGGACCCAGGGCCCTGAAGGAGCATAAGGGGGCCGGGGGTGAGGGCCGGGAGCCCGGGGCCCCGGAATCGGGGCCCCGG